CATACACTTTTTTCTAAATTATTTTCTACACATAATGATTCCATTCAGTAATTTACATCTACCAATTTCATTTGATAAATATCTTTCGTCAGAAAAGTTATAATCAAGAAAAGGCGTGTCAGTGGTTTGAAATTGGGCTCAATAGTAGTGTATGTTTTTGATGATTCCCAACAATTTCGCTTGCTGGCGTACTTGACAATCAAAAAGTTGAATAATTGTAGAATAGACTATCATTCTATGCGGCTATAATAACTCTCCCAGAGTTCTACTTTTATTTTCAATCATTTCTAATCGATGTCAAAAAAACATCTAATTTTTGTTTTTTGTAGAATAAAGGCAAATTTATGAATAGTCATCTGTCTGTTTTTGTCTTTGTCGTCTTTGTATTTATGTTTCCTTAATTAGGTAGTTTTTATTCTAATCGTCAATGATTACCATGAAAAGAAATATAATCAATGATTGGTGTAATTGCTTTTGCTCACATATAGAATATACGCAATCATTGAAAGGTTATGATGTTAATTGAGACCGCACAGTCCGAATATAAGAGGAAATGTCATCTTTTAAATGGGCTACCAACCCAGGAATATCCGTTTCGGGGCCCAATCGTTATTTAGTGCACCACTAAGGCCCTTGTTTTGCCTTTCTCTCACGCGGTGTTTGAGCGCTGTTGGTGCTCCCGTTAGTAAGTGATCAACGATAATGTTATAGGGAGTACATATAGACAGTGAACAGGATAATGCTGATGATGCAGTAAATATTATAACACCACTTTTCATCATTATAAGCGAGCCCAAGAGGCTCAAAGCACCCTTGAGATTCTGAGTTTTATCGTATCCCAGAATTTTAGTGACTGCAATCACTTAACTTCACCCGGAAAAACGAGTACTATTAGAGAAAGAGTTAAAGAATCAGCAACTTTAGCGAATGAGTTTCAAAATTGGCTCGACCTAGTTTTCTAGAGTTTTGGTGAGGAGATGTGCACCATGAGGGTGAAACGTAGTGTGTTTACTGTTAAGAGATAAAAAGAAAGGATGTGAAACAGAATGACTGAGGTGTTGATAAAGTCGGCAAACAGCGGTCTTGCAATTCAATGTCTCATGGTCACTGAATCTTCTGCTATCTTATTTAAAATGAGAAATCTTTCCAGAGCACGGAAAACCATTTACTTCAGAAGACCATTTCCAACCTACATTCGGAAACTAATCTACAACGAGATTAACCAGCTAATACATTTCAGAGGAATGTGTTCTTGGAAGCTACATATGTCGACAAAGTAAAGGTCAATCTCATTTTGCTGAGCCTCACGATATGACCCGATTAAGTCTTGGAAGTCTGTATGAATCCTTTATTTTGCTATGCAAGCAGTGGATGACTGGCCTGAAAGGATATATAAGGGCAGAGCAATACACTTGGCCAATCTAGCACCTTTATAGGCACTAAATGAGAGCATACATTCCTAGAACATAAATGAGGACGTTGAAAAGACCTCGTCTCGCTCGGAAGTAAAGACGTCTCCAGCCAGGATTCTTATTCTACACGTGCGCCACAAAAGGTAAAGAAACAAAATTGTGCAGCAATTGAATATTTGGACCAAATTTCAGCGTTGTTTGACTATGTCGTTGACGACCATATGTACCGTTTTCGGTACATAGCGTGCTCCGCTCACACGGTGGCCGCGGCGGGCTGCGGCGGGTTCCTGTCATCACGTGCTTCATGGGAATAGAATTTTGCTTGTTGATTGAGGTTCTGGGGCACACTATCAGCACTAAGTGATGTAAGATCGCAAAAGAGACTTCTATAGAGAGTTTTTGGTGATAAAAACGTCCATCTGCTGGAAACCATTCTGTGGTTCAAAAAAAGAACCACATCTTTTGGGAAGCAAACTCAATTTCAGCTGCCACATAACATTTTCTTCTTTCTTTTTGAACCATGTTTTTGCACTCAAATGATAGCCTAGAAAATGCCGATTTTAAGAAAAAGAAAAAACTCAGACTACTTTAGCTTGTTGTGAAACTTTCATATTACATTCTATTAACAAAAAAAGGTTTTTTTTGTTTCAACGAGAAACCACACTCTCGTGAAGGGGACATATTTTTATGTATCATATAACATTCGTTTCTTAATTTTTCATTTATGTTTTCGCAGTCATTCGATAGCTTGAAAAGTATACATTTCTACACTATGCTTGTTTCGTGAAAAGTCTTTTATGGTACATCCTACTAACTAAAAGAATGGTAATGCTTTGTAATTGAAGTTCGATTTCAGAATCTCATAGGAGACATTTTGGTTTTTTATAGTGAAATTTTGATTTGACTTCAGAGAAACTTTGTCGATGTAAAGCATTGGAGATTACTGGAGAGACTTCTACAAACTTGTTCTTAGTAAGTAGCATCTAGTTGTCCAGCAAATTTTCACTTTTCTAACAGATGTGCAAAGTGCAGTTACATTCTGTGAATTGTGCTCGTGTTTCCCTGCATTTTGTACATAGAGGATATCTTTACTGAACTATTAGTAATCAATCAATGGCTTGTTAAGTGAAGATCTTGTAAAGGCTTGGTTCATAAAAAAACCTTCTTATTGCGCTGTATTAAGTGAAGAGAGAACTACGTTTTGCTTTTGGACTAGATAGCCCGTTTACTGAACTTTACACTCTCGTTTTTGGTACTTCTACTAATGATTTTGATTTTTAACCAAATTTATTTCCACGAAAGAATGGACGATGTATGCATGGACAATGCCTACTTGTTTCAATAATTCCCACTTTTCAACTCGAAAGGTATATCATTGTGTAGGGAAAACCATGCTTTTAGTCCTCATTGCGCATTTCTATCGCCTATTTTAGAAGAATTTAACTCGAAAACACATAATCAGCAATGTGGAACTCGTGGAAGAAACATATATGGAGCTTGAATTTGCGCCCGGAGTAATCATCGACAGAGTTTGCGTTCTTCAAATTTTGGAGCACTTCCACAGAAAAGTACACTTACACTATACTTCCTGTTTTTCAGTAGACTACTAAGAGTCAAATAATTCTTTTCAATGTTTTTCTTAGGACCACAGCTCAAATTTCACTATGGCTTTGAAATCATTTTTGAGCCACGCATGGCGTGTGGTCTGTTAAAAAAAGGGCTGACTTACAGAGCCCGCTACACGGTTTCGATCTTGCAGTCTCGTCAGTCCGGGCAGTTACCCTTTCTCGTTTTTTGCCAATCCTGTGTGGGTGCTCCAGTCCCCACACTAAGAGTTAGCGACGGCGAACGTTTTACACTCTATATCCAGTGAAATTGTTACCGAACACACGACATGCATGGCTCAAAAATCATTTTACCAAGAGTCAGTTGATAGTCAAAAAATAGATCTTTCAGTCTTAAGCTTGCTTTATAAAAAAGCTTTCTTAGAGTCTGATACCAGAGCGGGGAAAATGCGCCTCTCCTTCGCGATGGTTACCTCAGTGCTTGAGCTTCGCCGAGAGTTCTGTTGACACTTCAATATCACATGCTTGTGGACACTTCAATATCAAAGGTAGCGATATGTCACAAAGGAAATTTCCTGAAGCATTTTCAGTAGGAAGCAAGACAATAGGAAACTAGAAATCCGCGTTCGATATGGAAGTACAAAACGAGTCTACTTCCAACTCTCACTCCGCATTTTTGTTCGATATCTTTTTGGAGTCAGACCGCCTTTTTCCATCGCATCATCGCTCCGATCGCCACAGATATTTGTCTGCTGTTGATTTAGACACAATTGGCTTTAGGCCCATAGTTGTTCCGTGACGCAAAAGTGCCTAACTCTTCGTTGCATCCGTGAACTATATTTGTTGAAATTAACAAGGCCTATGTGTGAATAATTCCATCATCAGCTGCGGATAGATCAGAGCTTCAAGCTGTTGTTTGAACGTGTAGTCGGAAGAACTAGAACAAATCATGCGGTGGAGGGAATACTGTCATTGATGAAAACACGCATGCATGATTGGGAGCATGAAGTCTTCTTGAGAGCATTCCATTAGAAAAAATACGTAGAGGCCTTGAACAATGCGAATATCCAGTGTCAAAGTCACCACGATGAATTGCCCTCTCAGCACAGAATAAACGCGGATAAACTCTGGATCGATAGGGCAAAGCCTTTTTTAGTTTCAACTTCAAGAGTTCACTAAGAATCGAAAAATTATTGAGAATCATTGATGAGGTTGCATCGTGTGCAGTGTGCAGCATCATTTTTGAAAAACATGAAATAGTTTCAAAACTGGAAGATATTTATCGTAATTTTTGACTTCAGAAGAACAAGGTGGTAAAGTAGTTGATTTTGGTTAATATTCACATGTGGCAATAGATAAGAAGAAGACGTTGTCAGCATGAAGATTAGAAGACAGTTATAATTGAATAATGAATAAATATGGATAAGATAGCTTAAAAATGTTCAATAACAGTATGAATCACCCCATTTTTGTGAGTATCTGGTTTATCCTTCGGATCGCGAGGTTCCAGGGAGGAGGATCGGCATTATTTCTACTACAATAGCTTTATTATCCTCTCTCCTATCATGTGCTATGATTTGTTGGCGATTAAAATCCTTTTAGCGACGATAAATGTAAAAATTTCATTAGAAGACTGCCGCATCTGTGATTCTAGCTTGTTTCGCGCGCCGCGCGATCACGTCGCGTGCCGTGCCCAGACTTCAACTTGTTCGTCAAGTACTTAAATCCTTGTATATTTATTGATCACACGACCTGCCATGACAATTTACTGCACAAATGTCAGCACTTTTTAAGCTCGATTCGTCACCTCGCCTACGCCGTCCTATATCTCCTAATTTTTTTCTATGTGTTAGACATCTGCGTGGGTACATTGGTGTGCCTTATGAACGTAACTGAACGATGATCGAATCTACTCCCCTGCAATTCTGTGATGATCAGTCATAATTCTTCCTATTTTGACTGCCACTTGCAGTGGTATGATGTTATAGTATACCCAATATGTGGAGTACTGTGCAAAAACGTTTGCGTCAGCCGGGATTCGAACCCAGATCTCACTCTTTCCGAGAGCGTATGCTAACCGTTGCACTACCGAAGCTGGTGCGTCAGCCTAGATGGTCATGCTTTAGCGTTCACAAGAGAGATCGAAGGAGTGATTTGGTCCCTCTTAATATTAGCAATATGAGCACACATCAGTGCGGTTGGAGGCTTGATATTTGTGGATTTTGAACTAGAGCTTGCTTGTAACAAAAGCCGTCAATACTACTGCGCCATTCTCACTTTTGTTTGAAGAGTTGCTATAGAGAAGAAGTTAAGAAAAGATTGATGTACAAAACAGCAGCACCGAAGTTGCTCAGTTTTGCTGAGGTGGACGGATGAGAAGATCATTAGTGTGGTGTGAACAGATGATGATGTTGCACAGTTGACTGCTGAATCTACGAAAAAACCACATAGGGAAACCCTCCTGAAGTGATAAAATATATGTCCTCTTGAATGAGCCTTATTTGTTTATTGTAGGTATTGTTTTCTGTAACCAGAATGTTACGCGAGGAGCTGCAACTATTTATCGTCGACATTTGAAAAAGCACTGATGATTTCAGAAAGTAGAAAAGATTCGTTATTTCGTGACGACAGCAATGCACAACGACTAGGAAAATACCTCAGGCCTTTTTCAACAGGTCCGCAGCAGATATAATAGTTGTAGGGCATTATTACCTAGAACAGTGCTATAGAAAGTATTAAGTGAAATCATAAGTTTTGCTATTAGAGGAACAAAACCGAATTTATCAACCAGAAGTAATCAAAATTTCCTGATAACACTATTCGAAGTACATATCACCAGACTGAGCACATTTCTGCCATCTCTCAGGTAACAAATATATGTTGCTTTCTACAGAATTTCCAAGCTTTCTTTTGGTACCAAATTTAACCCTACTTGCCCGCTCAACGAAGTCTTTATCGCAATTTGCTCTTTTGCGACTACAAATCGGGACATAATGCAGAGACGCCTCCAAAAGCATCAACCGTGCAAAAACTCAAGAATTTGGCTCCAGACGAACAATGTTTCGCTTCTTTGCTGAGTTCCGATATGATGCAGGAAGTATGGACAAATTTGGTAACAAAAAAGCTTGGGAGTTTCTACGCAAAGCTATACTAATTAAATCGTTGAGAGATAGCAGAAATGTGCTCAGGGTGATGGCGCATTCTCTGAGGAGTGTTATTAGACAATTTCTATAACTTCTGGTTGATAAATTTGGGTTCCTGTTCTAGTGCAAAGACTTATTTATGAGCAGCCTCATTTTTATGAATATCTAATACTTTCAATGTGTGTTATTTCCTTTGCACTTTCTTTGATTTGTCTCATAAAACTTGCTGCACTAACAGCAAGTCATAGCAGCTGGCTCACGCTCATGCCTTTCAATCGGATCGCACCTTAACTGTCAGCTCCACACAAGCCGACACTTACTGAATGGTAGCTAAATTCAGGCTTTTTGCACTCTCATTCGCCTTCAATAATGCTTAGAGAGCGCCACGGATCTTTCAAAGCATCATTTTATCCACTTACTTCTCCCTCGCCAATTTTTTCATTTCACGTTTATCAGAATGTGCAAACTAAATCAAGGATTACAAAAAAGTGGTTAGTGATGCAATTCAGCAACAAGCATGCTGCTGGTTCGACAACCTCCCGACGTTGCTCTTCAATCCACGTAGAGATGCCCTAGCTTGGGCATCTCCAAGACTGCGTGGAGAATCGACTCAACTACCTTTATACAACATTCATGAAACAGGCGAGATCTTCAGTAAGGAACATCACTCGGCATGGTTAAAGATTTCCGTGCAAGATGAATCAGAGGAAACGTATCGAATGAAGGCAGTGATCTTAGGATGTGCGCAACCCGTGCCATGTTGGGCCAGGTAAAATTATATCATTGAACTAACAATTTTCTCAATTTCTCATTTTGGTGTCACCAACATATCAGAGTACAGTCGTCATATTAACCTCTGATTTGTTGATCTGAATTGTCTTAAATAATTTCGCTTTTAATAGATCTTTTCCAGAATTAACACTTCAAATTATTTTATACACACCGCTCCCTCTAGATTCACTGACATCTTTTATATATAAAAGTGACTGATTTTAACCCTAAGGGACGACCTGTAGCAGCTGAGGTACACAATTGCTTGAAGGCTTTTTTGCTGCAAAAAACGTTTCCTCTTAGACATTTGGTAAACACTCGAAAGCCTGAGTCTTTGCGATTCCAAAAACCTGTTCAGCTTCAGAAAAAAGCTTCCTAATACGTTCAATTCCTTCATTTACTCGGCTAAGGCGTCGTTCTCAACTAAAGTCCTAATACTCATTAGACAGCCCAAAGTTCAAGGATTCTGATTATAAAATTAGTCAACGCCAACTAGTTCGCAACCGCTTATATGACCGTCTCTGTATAATGAAAGATTGTAAAATATGTCCTAACGGCAGAGACGGTGATTGCACGAGCGTAGGTACAGTCTACCTAATCTCTTGCAAAGCGTGTAGCGATAAATATATTGGCGAAACGGGTAGGCCGCTCTATGCCCGTATAGAAGAACACCTAGCTGATAAGCGTCTTAAAAGACGGAACACCCCGTTAGGGACGCATAGAGAACAGAAACACGACGGAGCTGATTTTGAGATTGAAGTCACCATCCTTGCGCAGGAACAAAAACATCAGCGCGAAAACTTCTTGAAGCACTTTGGATTAATACCACCAGTCCAACTATGAACCGCAGGGAGGAATGCCTTGTTATCACACGTGATTTTAGTCAGTATATAAGACTGTTATTTTGATGTGTAAGGTGCATTACGAGCCTATGTGATCTCCTTGCGGTTGTCTCCACTTGAATCATTCAGTGGAACACATATAAAAAGCGGTGAGTATGTTGAGAGTTGATTTTGTGCTTGATGCGATTGAAATCTAGGTCTGGTGATTTTTTCTAAAAGAGTATTGGAGGTGTTTGGCTTATTGGATTGCGGACAATTTGACCTTTCCAGGCTCTGAAGAAGGCGAACTGCCGAAACGTCAGCTGTGAATAAATTTTATTATAACACCTCGTGTTTTGCTTAAAGAAGAAAAACAGTAATTATATTGAAGCATGCCGAGGTTAATAGACAGTCGGTCTTGGGAATTATAAATTAGTTCTTGAAAGGTTGTCATATGACGCCGTAAGAGTGAAAAAAGGATCGCATTTCACGCCTAAAATGCTACCCGCCGCTCGGGCGTCATAGGTGAATCATTGATAATTACAGGCGAAGTTTATAACTCAAAGTTGTCTAATCGTTACATAAAGAACGAACTTTCTACGAAGATTTTTTGATACAATGAGTGACTACTGCTCTTGAAATCCTCCATTTTTCAGCGGTAATACTGCATCCTTTTAGAAAAATAGACTTTTCAATCCATATTTAGCCTTGTATATCCTGTCTTGCGAAAACGTAGCTTAAAAACACATGCTTCACAACTATGCATTCCTAACTAAGATTCAAGTGGAAGTATTTCCAATAAGTAGCTCGAGTGAGTGTAGGAAGAGTGCGCGTTCATCATTGCGCATGATGCGTTACATCGCCTATCATCACCCATATTCGAAAATACTTATTTTACGCTTTTTATAGACATTTTAGTGGCCATTCGATAGCTTAAATCTCAAAAAAATTGAAAGATATACTGCATTCTTGAAAGGTCCCTGCTTTACACTGTAACAGAAAAAAGAAATGTTATTCAACACTCGGACATCTTTCGATGAGCAACGCTTCCCCTCAAAAAATAAGCAGTTCTTCAACAAGTGTAGTGGTAGAGCACGCGTCCCCGGATAGGATGAAGCGTGGGTTCGATTCCCGCCTGAGGCCGTGTTTTTGTTCACCACTCAATTCTCTTAGTTATATAAGAACATAATAACACTGCGAAAAAGCAGTGAAAATACTGTAATTTCGAAGTATTTGAAAATAGACTTATTTTCTGAGGGAGCTTCTTAGTTTGTCGTTACAGCCAAAAGAACATTGAGCTTAACAATAGGCGCGCACCGGTCGCCACACGTAAAGTGCGTGCAACCGACATGGTACCGAGTGCGAAACTCAATGATCTTTCGGCTATGGCAAAACATTAAAACGTTCTTATCAAAAACCAAACGTATCATTAAAATTGTTGATATTTGTGCTACCGAATGGTTATTGGAAATCTGAATGGAAGCCTCTGTTTGGCGAATGATGCTCAAATGTGAAAGAATAATTGGTACATGTATGTTAAGTGGTGACAAATTTTTAAGCTATCTCATTCGCTGAACAGGCAATTTTTATAGGATATTTGTAACTATTCAAAAGCTTAAATTTCTGCCTACAATTGTACGGCACTGGTTCTTAATGAAACACCCTTCTATAACCTTGTAGCATCCAGAAATAAGGCGAAAGGCAAATGAGAACAAATTATTATTCTGTATGCTACAGCGAAATAAAAGAGTGATTTGAAAAACCAGCAACGCATAGGTGTAGCCAGAGATTTGGGCTTTCCAGTGGTTACTAGCACTTCTATAAAAATTTCCTTTCCAGCGAATGATATCGGCTCAAAAATCTGCCGTTGTTTAACATGTAAGTACCGTAAATCTTATTACACCTTTGCAGCATAATATAAAAGCAATTTGAAAGTAAACCACACCCTTCAGATTTTCGATATTCAAGCTGTCGAGCAATTATTAAAATCTCAAAATGGAATGATTAGTACCTTATTTGAGTATGGGTGCAGATGAGAGAGAAGCATCGAGAATACTTCTCTGGAGATACATTTTTCTGACCAATAGTTTGCATAATTCAAAAGTTCGACTTTCTATCAAAACCGGCATAATTAGTCGATATATCAAAATCGAGAAAACTTATCTTGATTAGCTAACGCGATGTTTAGAAAATAGTTGTAGTTATTCGGCTGGCATTTCGGCCACCCAACCTGGGTCTGCTAATCAAGATAAGTTTTCTCGATTTTCATATATCAGTTTGCATAATGCCGATGTTCTAAACCTTTTATTCGAACACGGCTGTCCCTTACCGCTCAGATTTCTTCCACCATCCGTAAGTAC